ACAATCATCCTTCTAAAAGTCGAAGGAACGGGGGAAATACTCGGAGGATATAATCCTCTTACGTGGAAAAGACCATCATTTATAAGTGGGAATAAAAAATATTCCAAAACAGATGAAAGCTTTATTTTTTCCTTAGGAACGGAGAATTCGAACGAATCCATATCGATATTTAGCAAGGTTAAAAATGCACGCAATGCAATCTATCGACAAAATGGACCATCTTTTGGAATGATAGATCTTAAACTGTCTCCACAAGATAACGAAGGCCGAACATGGATATGCTGTAAGGCTGATTATGAAAAGCTGATTCGGCATGAACCAGGTACTTTTCAAGTACAAGAATACGAAGTATTCCAATATTTAAAAAATTGATAATTACATAGATCCAATCCATTACCACTAAAAATCCTATTTATTAATTTCTCTGAAAATTGAGGCTGGATGGATGTGCACTTAGTAATCCAATACATACATTGTCAAGTGTGCATTTAGAAATTAAAACATGTAAGGTGTGCATTTAGAGTTGAAACATTTATTTGGAGCAACTTGAATTATATATCCTGGAAATTTTTAAATTTTAACAACTGCGCAACCATAAGCCTTTACTATTCGTTTCATAGACGTAATTTATTCTAGAGAATATGTCAAAAAATTCATTTACAATATTCATTCGTATAGACGATGTAATCAATAATGTTCGAATTCGGAATTGACACCGTCGATTAGACTCGAATGAATTTAATACTTCTATTTATTTTTTCTCTCCGAATCATTTGAAGATTAATAATTCTAAATCAGAGCCGCAAAGGCTAGAATGAGTTTATAACGTTTTGCAAGAAGGCATAACCTTGTGATTTTCACGATGGTAATAGTGGGAATTTCTAGGATTCTAAATTGCATATCGGCTATGTTTTTCGATCAGTAATGTCAATAATTGCTCGAAATCTAAAATTGTCGGAGAATCTGATTTTCTGTGATTTCACATAATATTCGTTCATTTTCCTTTTAGAATCATTTGGATTAAATCCGATTAATCTTAAATCAGAGCTGAATAAGTTCTGAAAATCGTCTAATCATTTTTCAAAATCAAAATATCCTTACTTCTATTTCAAAACATCTGCTTTTCAGAATTTTTTTCCTCATATTTCTTTCGAGTTCTCTCGACCTTCACCCAAATTTCAGTTTAACTTGTATCAATAAGAAAAACTGTTATTGTCAATTTATTGTTTTAAAACATTGGCTCTTTCAAAATAATTTTAAAAAACGATTTACCCTGATCGATAATCGATTCTTAACCAAAGATACGAAGATTTTTCTACTCCAAATTACTAAAATACTTTTTTTTATTATAAGGTATTTAATATAAGGTATAGTTTAATGTAATTCTGATTTTGGTTTCATTATATAGTTAGACTTAATTTTAGGAAGATACAAAATATATTCTTTAAACCGATTTTTGCAAACAATGATGATTACAAAATGAAAATTTCTGATGAATAAATCGCTTTGGCCAATTCAATTACCTTAGTTTTAATTAATTATTGCGGTTTGCAAGGTGTGATCTATGCAGATCATTGTGACATTAAATCACGAGAAATCAGGCGATTCTAGTAGATTTTTTGATTCCTAGAGAATCTTAGATATTTCGAACGAACATAGACGTTATTGATTGAAAAATATGATCAATGGGAATTTAAAATCTCAGAAATTTTTCCGCTATCATCATCACGAAATCACAGGGGCCTGAACGTTAGAAAAAACAAATCTAAAGCCGGTAACTGTGCCGCAGCAGGATATGCACTTGGATCTTGTTATTATAAACAAAATAAATATAAACAAGCATTTGGGTACTTAAAAAAGTCGGCAAAAGGAAATAATATGATGGCGTTGAATCTTTTGGGATTATGTTATCAAAGATCTTTAGGAACAAGTATTAATTATGCTGAGGCGTTTAAATCATTTCTCCAAGCAGCTAAAATGGGTTTACCAGAATCACAATATAGGCTTGGAAACTGCTATGAGTTTGCTGAAGGAACAAAAAGAGATTTGGAACAAGCAATGCATTGGTATCAAATGGCTATAGATAATAACCATCAATGTTATATAGATTTAAAGCGAGTAAAGGTCGCAAAAAATAAAGAGCATGTGTCAAATAGTCGAACTGTTAAGTTTTAAAAAAATTTTTAATACATTTATACTCTTACTCTATTATAAATCTAAATTGTAGATAATATTTAATATTAATGGATTGGACTTAGGCCTAAATATTACCGGTAGTACATTTGTTAAAATCATTTTAAAAATTAAAAAATTATAAATATAAATTATTTTTATATACAATAATCAGATAAATACTCTAGTTTAACTAAAAATTATTTGCTTTATAATTATTAAGAAAAAATTTATAACAACTTTTATTTTTAAAATTTTTAATATTCTACCGGTAGTATACTATGAATTTTAATAATAACTTTATTAATAAATTTTGCGAATTAAAAATCCAATTATATAAAAAATTTGATCTTTACCTTTATAGAAAATATCTAATTTCCACCACTGGTGGTTATCACCTGTAATTTTCAATGCATAATAATAACAAAACAACAAAATAATTTTCTTTAAAACAAAATTAATATTTCTTATAGTAAAATTTTGCAAAAAAATTTATGTTAGAGCTCAAAAGGTGGTTTATAAGCAAGATTTTGAAATATTAATGATATAGGTAATAATCACCTATAATATAAATTAGCAAATTCCTTTTTTGTAATTAAAAATTATTATTTTTTATTTTATTTTTTTTTTTAAAGAGAGGTCTATCCTCTATCTCTTTTATTAATAGTTGATTATATATATATTATATACATGAGAAAAAAACTATGCTACGGGAGATGGAAGTAAGAGCTACTTTACTCTTGACCTATTCTTTGCTAGAATGGTCGTAGACCTCTAGTCTTTGATAATATAATGA